CCTCTCAGGGAAAAAGTTTTTTAATTTTGGCCCTCTCAGGGAAAAAGTTTGGGCACCCCTGCTCTAGATGATCCATTGTCTCAGAGTCATTTCTATTTTTACTTTTGAAAAAGTTCATGTCACAAGGTTCATTTTGTTACTTAGTTTGCCTGGGTTTTTGTTTTGTTCTGCATCTAAAACAGTGACAGCATGCAGGAAAGGAGGGCGGGACTTATTTCTAGCTGCAGAGCGGGTTGGGAGATGATGTTATTTAATGTTTTTTAACATCCTACAGGCTCTGAAATACAAAATAAAAATGAAACTGAGGTTTTGACAAAGGTCAGCAGTGCGATTTGAACGCAATTTTTTTTAGTTCATCACACATTCGCCACAGTGGCAGGTGCGTTGTTCAGATCTACACACCACTTCATAATTTTACCTGCATTTGGGCAGTGGCGGGTGCTAATTTCCACCCCTGATGATGTCCCAGTGGCTTTCAAACCCCAAACACATTATAGCAAAGACTGTCACCCCAAAGATCCTGGCACAAACAGTGTAGTGCTGTGTATGCTGTTAAGTGCCAGGAGAACTGTGAGCAGTTCTGCATCGGGGAAACAAAACTGTTCAAAAAGATGCCCCAACACAGAAGAGCAACATCATTAGGCAGGGACTCTGCAGTCCACACTCATCTACATACCAGCAGTCACTCTTTCAAACATGAAGACGCTGATGGTCCTGTTTTGTGTAGAACAAACTGCTTTGATTGTCATTGTTCARTTGTTTGTCCACCATGTGGAAATAATGCCTCTAAAGGCTGATGACTGAAGAAGTCTCTTTACTTGTAAACGAGACAAAACTTTTTTTGAACAAAAAATAACTCATCCAACTCTAATGAACAGAAAACCTTTAAAATAAATTTTTTCCCAATGGGAAAGGCACTGGAAAAAAAAAACACAGGGAATGGAAACTGTCCCGCCCACCTCCCCATCCTTTCAGAACAAAGGACACTTTCATTTTCTTATTCTGTAGTATCTTGACTATACCTAACAACTTTACATACAGATTAATTTAACCATGAAGTATACAYGGTTAGTTAAAAAAGATTAGAAAGATGTTTGTTAACACCGTAACAAGGCTAAGTATCAGTATCAGTTTTTATTGTTTAAACTGAACGATGATGAAACTGAACCCCGGGACTGAAAATCATTTAACCTCAGACAAGAAAACAGATCAGTCTAAAAATGATCAGAGACCCTCAGTCCAGTCTGTAAACTGTAAAGTGTTTATATTGTTGTCATGTAGATGGAAACACATGCAGAGCACACACAGCTGAGGAGAATAAAATGTGTGAATTGTCTAAGAAACATTTTTAATGATGTGAAAAATACTTTGTCAACTCAGCAGGTTAATTCAGAACAGCTCAGCTGTGATGATTCCTCTGCTCCACAACATGCAGACAACAGATTTGTTGCTGCGTAAAGTTGTGTTTAATTTATGGATCAATGTCAGCTGTTCTGAAGGCTGATATCACCACAAGAAGAACTGAGGAAAGCGTGGTTTTTTTTGTTTGTTTGTTCATTTGTATCACACCGAAAAAAATACAATCAGGTATTTTACTGTAGTTCTGAGTCGAGTCATGCAGCTGATCTGAATGAGAAACTTCATGATTCTAAAATATAAATCACACCGCGGCAGAAACTCACAGCGCTGCAACTCGTTTCTTCACTTCAACTATTTAATAAATATTTTTCTAAGTTCTACCAAACTCATCAGTTCCTGTGTTTACAGTCATTTATTAAAGACGTGTAAAGGTGCAAATAGCTCTCAGCCTCATGCGCCGCCGCAGCACACGCACACACACACACACCAACACACGCACAACTTTGCGAGTGGCAAACTCATTTTTACACCCCACTACTTATTTAGACAGTTTTCTCACTCGTTCTCCATTTAATGTATAATTTTCCTGCATCTAAAAGTCATTTCTGATCCCACAGACAATCTGAGGAGAATCTCACACACTGGACACATTTATATCTATTTTACAGATTTAAATGGAGGCGTGTCAGGGGAGATGTCTCAGGTGCGCTAAGTTCCACGTTGTAAAGGGCTGTGTCCAAAACGGCAGGCCGGGTCCTCCGAAGGCCGAATTTGTCGGCCGCATACGTCACAGCGCCGCGACG